AATATTTAGCTTACGTAAAATTTTGACCTTACAATTGCTGTAATAAAGGGAAAGCACATGTACATATCTCAGAAAAATGAGATAAAGATGATTTCAACACAGGCCTGCAATTCAGTTTATTTACGTGGAGCACAACACAGTCAGAGAACTTCACTGACTTCATGCTGATGTCCCATGGAATTGTGCTGCACATTTGATTAAATTTGCTTACTGATGTTCAAAGGAGGACTCTTGCAGGTTCTTACCTCACCTGGGGAACTGCAGGCTTCAGTCTCACTTCAAGCCAACATGTTTGCCTGTAGCTGTAGCAGAGAAGTGCTTTGCATAGGTAGGTCCAGTCTCTTCCCACACCTGGGACAGGCTGGGTCTGTGCTGGGAGCAATCATTCCCTGAATACTTGTGCGATGTCGTGGCAGCATCAAGGAGTGCTGTGCTGCCTCCCCTGGGCCTCAGGGGATATCTCTCACTTCTCTCCTGATACCTGCCTGGAAAAGGGAAGATACAGACAGGAGGCCCAGCTGTCCTCTCTCATCTAGTCTGCAGTTCCATGAGGGATGTGTCCCTCTAATCACACCAACTTAACCACTGCAGGTGGAAGGAGGAGCTATCAAAGACAGCCACCACTGGGACAGAGCAACCACCACCACTGCCTCCCACAGCTGCTCAAAGAGCATCAGTGCCTAAGTTCCAGCTTGACCCAGGCCATGGGCTGTCCTGCCCACACTAGGGCTGAGAGGGACTTCACAACAGGTGGCAGAGAAGCACAGGACAGACACAGCACAGGCAGCAGATGACCCACAAACAAAAGCCAACGCACTGATCTGACTACAGGATCAAAGCTTTGGCCTTTTCAGTCTTTTTCAGGAGTGCTTTCCTGTATCAAGGCTGAGAGAATTGGGATTGTTCAGCCTGGAGAAGAGAAGGCTTCAGGGTTACTTAATTGTGACCTCCAGTGCCTACAGGGAGCCTATGAGGAGGATGGAGAGAGACTATTTACAAACGCCTGGAGTGGCAGGAAAAGGGGGAATGACTTCAAACTGACAGAGAGTAGGTTTAGATTGGATATTAGGAAAAAATTCTTTCCTGTGAGGGTGATAATGCACTGGCACAGGTTGTCTAGAGAAGCTGTGGATGCCCCATCCCTGGAAGTGTTCAAGGCCAGGTTGGATGGGGCTCTGAGCAACCTGGTCTGGTGGAAGGTGTCCCTGCCCATGGCAGGGGGTTGGAACAAGATGATCATTAAAGTCCCTTCCAACCCAGCCCATTCTATGATTCTATGATTATATAGATCCTTTCTGGTCTTCATATATTCTGAGTAATAGAACCATGTATTCCATAGAAACTAAATATAGTTCCCAATGTCAAGATATATCTGTTGCTTTATATGGAAAAAGTGTCTGATTTTGTTTATATTTGGCAAAAAAAGAGTTAATGCCTCATGATGAATCCTTTGTGCTTGGTAGCTCTTGGATTGTGCCATTCTCACTGCCAGCCCAGGTGGGAAATTTCAGGTGCTGTCTCTAAGAGGAATCATTAAAAAGATATTTTTTTTCCTGTGTGGCAGGTTCATCTATATCTCTTTTACTGAAAGGTCTGCAAAAACATCCATGTTCTCACAGAAAACAGGCAACTGCCTTTTTGTTTTCCAGGAAGAAATTTGAGCAGATGGATGAAAAGAATTACTAAATAACACAAAGTGCTGGTCTGAAACTGGCCGGAGACTCCTTACTAACAGCAAAAGTCCTTGATCCCTCTTTGCAGAGCACAAGGAACAGTCGGTCACTGGTTTGCAGGTAAGACTCAGATATTTCCTTCTTGCAAAATGTTTGTGAATTAAAATTTCAGCATTAATTTATATATATATGCATTTTTCATAGAAAAGTCAAAGTAAAATTATGGGGAAGCAAGGCAGAAGATTCGAAAATTTAATAGACAGAACTTTTCAGTTTTTAAAGGAAATTGCCTAAAGCAGCCATATGTTTACTTATTTGTTTCAATCTCTTTATATTTAATTAAATAGAAAGTTTCCCTGTAGCTACTCTTGCTCTCAAAATTTGCTCAGAAACAGAGAAAGAAAAGAGAATAACAAGTAATGGAAGGGAAAAAAAGCTGCGTAGTTCAAGTACAGAGCAGAACATATGAAGGCATTAAGAGCAGCAATGTGTCTACTGGCAAACTGTGAAAACAAACAAAAAAAAGAGAGGTTTTTAAATATACCTTGAAAACACATAGATCTGTACACAATAGGATTGGTTACCCAAGCTTACTTTTGCAAATACATAATTAAATATTATGCACAGTGAATACGATCCCTTACTGTGTTTGGTGGCTGCCTCAATGGAAGTAACAGGTAGTTGTGGATTTTTTTACTTTATACAAAACATGATGCCAGAGGAAGACTTACTGGATGGTCTGGCAGATGCTTATGTGCTCAGGCATGTTCACATCCAGTCGTGCACTTTATCCTGATGTCTGGACAAAGCACCACTAAAATCACAGAACTGGTGTGGTATTGCAGGTCCAGCAACTGCAGTAGGTCACAGCACTAGTCCTTAAGTTTTAAATTTCTTCTCCTGAAAAGGAAGATGTAAACATGCTTGTTATCTACACATACACTTTGCAAGGCCTCAAACATAGAAACCCAAAGGAACTGAGACAGCATAATCTTTTAAGTAAAAATACATATACATAAAAATACATACACCTTTAAAGCTACCTATTACATCTAATGTTTTGCTCGTGCAAGTAAATAGATTTATTTAAATGGACTAAAGGCATATTCAGCTTTGTCCAATATAAATACTTACTCTGTATCAGTTTAATCTCCTTGTTAAATGCTTCCCCAAGTTTTGCAGAGTCTCCTGGATTTCTGTTCTTGCAGACTTGGGAAGTGTAGGAGCGAGGAAAGCAATCAGGAATTTTGCATGTGAGTCTTACAGAAGAAAATAGATCTAAAATTCCTACTAAATGTATTGCCAAAATACAGGCATGTCTTTCAAAATTCTGAGTTTGTCCCATATCAAGTGATGCTTTGGATTACTAGGAAAGTAGGAACAAACCTTTTAGAAAAATACATTGTCAATAGTGCTTGTAGCAATTGTAGAGAAATGTCTAAAAATTTCCCTGTGCAGTTCACTGAATGCAAGCTAACAGGTCTATTAAAATGCATTTAAGGTTTTAATTTGTGATTTTCACAGAGATGAAAATGAAAACAAAGCACATCAAACTACCAGAACTAAATAAAACAACACAAGTACCAAGAGCTGGTTTTCAGGACAGAGGCTTAAAGGATTACCCACTTCCCCCCTTTCTTATAATTTAATTCTTGTATTCCCCACAACAGACATTTATTTGGAATCCTCCTAATTATAATTCCAATGAATAAAATAATGCCTTGGCCTTGCTATTGGATCAACAGGACTAATCCTGCTCTGGGCTTTATTACCTTCCAAGGAGCTCTGAAAGGAACACAATTGTTTACGTGTTGGTTCATTTCCAAACTCGGGGCCTTGTTTTGCAAAACATCAGCTATAATGACTAAAAAATTAAAATGAATTTGAGGTTTCCCCCACTCCATGTAACTAATCTATACTTTATGTAGAACTAAGGAAATTCCTTGATTCTAGTCTTGAAGGATAAAAAGGCAGTGTAAACTATTTTATATATTCAACGCACAGTTTTTATTGCAGACAACTGTATTTCTACCTAATTTTCTCAACCTCACTATACAGTCCAGTGAGTTTAAATCAATTCATGTATTGTAATAATTTAAGGCCTTTCTGTGTGAAAGGCATGCAGATGTGGGAATCAGGGGTCAGACTTGGTCCTATTAAGAAACAAATCATGTGGGAGTTTCAGGTTTCAGACCAGGTGCTTGAAAAATCGCCTCCCTCTATGTCAACGATGTTTTCCTTCTGGCAGGCCTTTTCCAAGCTTAAACAGAAGCAGAAAACCCCATATAGACTGCTGAATATTCTTAAACTTATTGGTGGCAGAACTTTGATTACCTGTTGGGTCTGGAGATCACAGAATCATAGAATATCCTGAGCTGGAAGGGACCCACAAGGTTCATTGAAATCCAGCTCTTGGCCCTGCACAGACACCCCAGCAATCCCACCATGGGCCTGAGAGCGTTGTCCAAACACTTCTTGAGTTTTATCAGGCTTGGAGCTGTGCCTACTGCCCTGGGAGCTTGTTCAGTGCCCAACTACCCTCTGGGGGAAGAAGCTTTTCCCAGAATCCAACCTAAGCCTCCTTGCAGCTCCAGCTGTTCCCTGGAGTCCTGTCACTGGTCACCAGAGAGCAGAGGTCAGTGCCTGCCCCTCCACTGTCCCTCGTGAGGAAGCTGCAGGTGGCCATAAGTCTCCCCTCAGTCTCCTCCAGGCTGAACAAACCAAGTGTCCTCAGCTGCTTCCCCTCAAGGCCCTTCACCATCTTCATAACCCTCCTCTGGATGCTCTCTAATGACTTGAATGTAGGTTACAGCCTTCTCCAGTCATATTCATCTAGTCCGAGATCTTTGTAAATAAAATTGTATTGTGCTTGCCATCAAAACAGAGTAGGGAAAGGGAACAAATTTCTACCTATGGCTGGCAGACAGAATGAGACAGTTCAGTTTGTTAATAAAGAAGGAAAGTATATTTGCAGCCACCAGGTAATTCAAAAAGTGTTCAGAAACTAAACTGAGCTGTTTCTCCTGTGTTGAGTGTAATAGTGTGCCTGAACAAAGTGAGGTGAAACAATATGCTGTTCACCATTTTTCACCAAATGTTAAGGCTGGTTTGGTCTCAGAAGGACAAGACACACACACTCTTGTCCAAAGAAACAAGTTTTCTGAATGACAAAAAACAACGTGTGCCTTTTGTCTCTCAAAAACTGTCTCCAAATAATTAAGTTAGAGGACAACAATAGTAACTATTATAATCCTATGTAGCTCATAAAATGGTTGCTTTCTTCCAGCAGCTGTCCAAACAGCACTATGGGAATTGTTTGGCAAAAAACCATCCCCTGGCTCACATCCCTGGCAGAATTGACAGCATCCTCACCCCTCCAGGGATTGTCTCTTCCAATGCTGGTTCAGCCTTCAGTGCATCCATGGAGCACAGTGCACAGTGACTGAGCCCATCACCCCAAGGCAATGGTTCTGCTGGTGGCAGTAGCAGAAGTGCTGTTGGTGCTGGGTTTGGCTGTGGAGTCCCACTCACTCTGCTCACCCACCACCTTTTACAAGAACTGCTGGATCCGGCGCTTCCCAGGCTGCCTGATTGACCTGCAGGAGTCACAGAGGAGGGGAGCCCGGATGCTGAAGGTTTATGCAGAAGTCTCACCCCAACAGTGCAGCAGAAGCTGCTGCCTTCTGAAGAATGGTGAGTGTTTATTGTCAAGATTGTGGCACACGTTAAAATTTACATACAAGAAACACATTTTGGGTAATGCTTATATAAACATTCCTTTATTTGAAGAAGAAATGGGGGAGAGGATCTATGCATTTTTTTGAGGCAGGAAAGCAGAGACACCTTGTAACTGTTCTCCCATTTTCAGTCCCATAGAAAGGAAATTGAAAATCTTAGTTTTCTGGAAGACTACACTAGAAACATGTGAAAATCTTAGGGTCTGCTCTGAAATTTTAGGTCTGTGTTACAAAGCTTATAGACAATGCCAACATTAAAAGAATGACTCTTCAGTATTCATCACCATCTACTCCTGTAGAGAACAACCAGTGACAGTGATTCCAACAGCACTTTTTTTCATGGAGTATGGCATCAGAAAGAGGAGGGAGTGCACAATTTTCCTCTGAAATACAAGAATATTAATTTCCTTGGAGAAAGCACTCTCTTATTCTGTGTTCACACCATGTTTGTGGTGCAAACCAAGTATAACATTAATATGAACAATAAAGTTATAGCAATAAATGATAGCAGTTATTGAGCTGGCAACCCCTTTTCCCTAGCCTTGTAAACTCAGAATAAAAATAAGAAAAATCATTGTTTATTTTAAGCCCAGTACTGTACTTTGTATCACACTGCACTGGTACGCTATAGGAGTATATTTTAGGAGAATACATGAAGTGCATGTCTGTGGTGCCTAAATTTTCAAAACTCACAAGACTTGAAGAGGGTTTTGGATATGGAGGATGAAAGCGAGGAACCAGTTACTAAAAAAGTCAATATAAATTTTGATGAAATTTTGAATTATGAGCAAAAATATGACCTTGGCAATCTGACAGTGACATAACTGCCATCAGCATTCCTGGGAAGAATCAAATTCTGTCTTAAATAATGTGAGGAAATAAAAATTTAATACATTTCAGCAATGTTCTTCCTATTTGGACAACAAACTTTTTCTCATAGAACAAGGTACTGGATACCTTACAGAGATAATTAATGGTAACTTGGAATCTCCTTTTTATATTCTGACATAGTCAAGCAAAAATTTGTTACAATCTTAACTAAAATAGAGACAGTAGAGGGCATTTCAACGATACACTTTAAATCAGTTATTATTTAATCAGAGACACATTTAGAACACAGGTGGCTATTCTGGTCCAGATGTAAAAAAGAATATAATTATAAGTAGTTCTACTTTTTTGACTGTATGCTCAATTAGTTTGCATGATAATGAGAGACCCACAGTATTTGGTTCTCTCTTCCCATAGGATCTGGCCAGAGCTGCCCAGTATTAATGATCTTCTGATTTAAATAACATAATAATGTGCAAAATGCAATGGTCATTCTTCTGAGAAGCTCAATTTTATTCTTTATGGATTGTAGTTTCCTGCAATCTAGCAGTGTTCTACCATGGAGCCATCCACGAGAATAGGAACTGCCTGCACATGTCTTGCCCAGCATTGGAAAGCTGCATCCTGAAGGCTGGAATCAATGTCATTTTGTACAACATCACAACAGGTAATTAGGCACTTCATTTATAAAGGCTGAAAACACAGCAACTAGAGAAAATGTTAAAATTATACCCAGTCAGCTGCTGTGCTAGAAGATGTTCTGAAGTAATATGCTTCTGAAGTAAAAATGCTTAAGACTTTTTTCCTTCTTCACTATGTACCTCCAGCTGAAAATACTTCCCCCCTTTCTCCACTCAGTGAGAAAAAACCTTAAAGATACAGCCTGCTCTCAAGATTCATGCTCTGAGTAACTTCTCAGTACTGTTTGCCCAATATTTGGGCAAACACCTACCAGGTCTGAGAGACTGAGGTTGCCACTGCTCCATGTCCCCAGATCCAAGCAGTAGCAAGGCTGAAAATTTTTTCTCATTAGGCACATGCACAAAGAGCACACAGGTTACAGAGCCAAACACATGAAGCAGGCACACAACCACAGGTAGCACCAAAAGCCTCATCCTGCTTTTTCTAGCTCACAGGATGGAGATCTGTTAGTGAAAATATATATATACACACATATAAAATGCAAACCTACCCAGCAGCTGGGTTGAGATGCTCAGTCTGCCCAGTCTGGACCCCAGTCTCCCCAGTTGCTGTCACCTGATGTTTGAGCCCCAGGGGTGCAGCTTCCCTCCAGCTGCTGGTGCAGACTATCACACACACACACAGAGCTTTCTGGGATTTCCCTACCCCCAGTAACCTAGATCCCACCCTTTCCTCACCTTTGGTTCCTTCCCCAAGCATCCCATAATAAGTCTTGTGCAATCCCAAAATGCACTTCCCTTGCATCCCTTGAGGTGTCCCACAGCCTCCAGCCCAAAAGGTGCTGGTGGGTATTATTTGGGCTCCCTGACCTGCCACTGTCTCTGTGCAGTCCTTTTGTGGGTGTGCAGACCAGCTCTTATCACACAAAACTAACACTGTTATGATTTCATAGGGATTGATCCAGATCTTCTTATTTTTGAAAAACTGACATCCAAAGAGCCAAATATTCACTCCTCACGGAGTGAATACGAAAGGCAGAATAGCACAAAGACCACCGAGGGGGGAAGATGCCAACACCACAATGCCACATCAAGTTCTCCTCTGCTCCACGCTCCAGCCTCTACCACAAGCCATGGCTTAACATTAAACACTTACACCTCCAGCACAAGCCTCATGGTCCAAAAAAACGAAGTTACTACTTATTCCAGGGCAGAAACTTTTCCAACAGATGACCAATTTGCCAAGAGGACAAGCACAATTTCAGTAAGCACCAGGCAAGCCACCAGCTCAGACGAGAAGACCGAGAACTCATCTTTGACATCCAGGTCTGCCAGTGGAGTATCCCACATGCCCACTCCTCCTCGTCTGAACAGCAGCAAGCAACACCTGAACGAAACCAAAGGCTACAGTGGTAGGAATTCTACTTCAGAAAATGAGGCACCTGCTTGGGAAGTGTCAGCTTTGGGAGTCTGGTTGATTCCTGTTGTTCTTTGCTCTTCTCTCCTCTGCCTTTGCTGTTGCACTGTTGCTCTCACGACAGGGCGCTGCAGCAGCAGGAGAGCTCAGTATAAGCCCATAAGGAGAAGAACAAAAATGTCAAGACAATTCATAAAATATACTACTGTCAAAAGTAATTTGTAAAACACTTGTCAGCATCCTTTCTATGGAACAAATAGGCTTTTAAAAGTGCATCCTATATACCACTTTATTTCTTTTACAGAAGCAATGATATTTTTTTCATAATATTTCAGTTATAATTTAATTCTTGTCAGATGAAACACAATTCCCCTGCCTCTTTAGCTAAGAAGTACACACTCATAGCTCCCACTGTGTGCTCAGAGGTGTTCAAGCATGTTTTGGTTCATAATCTGATGCCAAGTGATGTCTAACAAACAGTGTAACACTTTCCCTAATTTAAGAGAGCAGGTTCACTGCAGCTGTACCTATTAGCACATCTATGTGTCAGAATATTATTTAATTAGTAAGATTAATGCAGTGTTCAAAGACTAAACTGATGAGGTTGTAAGGCCACATGAATACCTAGTTACACCTGAGCAGATTTCAGAAGAAAAGACCTCTCTAAAATTATATGTTAGTCCACATTGATCAGCACTGGAACTTAGAAAACTGGAGTTTAAAAAACCCCTTTTTTATAGTATTTTATTGACATCATACACTAATTTGTATGTAATAGAAGAGAGATTGACACAGGATAAGAACATTTTAGAAGGGTAGTGTTATTTAATCAGTTGAAATAACACAAAAGAAAATTCTTCTATTTCAGCTAGAAAACTTAGAATTAGGTATGACTTGTTTTTAAGGGCAGTCCTATGCTTATGTATGAAGTGATAAAAACTCTATAGGTGTGACCACTGCATGATGTACTTTAAATTTGAACAGCCTTTTATCATCAAATTGTACTTTCCTAATTCATAATGTGGCTGAATCTAGTCTAAATATCACAAAAAATTTCAGCTAAGAATGATGAGACCCCAAAGGCTCTTCTGAGTTACAGTTGACAGGTATTCTTTTCTAGTTTTTTGACACCAAAAGGAAAGGAGCTAGGAGGAAGCAACCAAAATACTCTATATTTTATCAAAGGATGAATGTGGTGATATTGTAAATAAAGAATGTTTATCATCATCTTAGGGTAGTCTTCATGGACCTGACCCCAAAATGTAAAAGTCTCAGGGGTGACTCCTTTCATTAGGAAACAAAGGCACAGGTGCATCAGAGGAGGAACTCGGTTCCTCCAGCTGTAGATGCCTGGGATGTCCTTTGTATCCTTTCTCCACATCTTACACTGAGATCATCAATAGGCTCCTTTTTAGACCAGGAGCTGCAGACTGTGTGGCTCAGGATTTTCTTTGTACAGTGCTCTACTTCAAATTCCCTCTCAAATTCTGAAGGAGAAGGTCGTGGCTCAGCAAACCACCCTTCTGTTAATGACATAAGCAGGCTTAGCTCCATTTATAAAGTCTTCACCAAGAAATTAGTGCTTTGCAAAGTTCATGTTTTGACCTCTACCACATTCACAGATCACAAATCTGATCAAGTACATTAAATAAACTGATTAATCACGTGCTCCATGTCAAGTTGTGGTACTTCTCATCTCACTCAGTACTGATGACAAGCGTGTTTTGTCATACAGTTCTCCCCCAACACACTTCAGCCAGCACTGTCACACCAATTTGCAATGAAAGTGCTTTTTAAATTATTTTTCTCCTCATAATTTTTAAAATCATGTAACCAAGGAAAAAACACTTTAAAACCAACTTACATCCAAACTGTAAGCTACCTGAGCATCTGCTGACAGCCTGCAGACTGCAAACTCAATGGTGCTTGGCCTCTGCCAGCTTGTCTAACTCCTCCATCCTATGAATGACCCTCCATAGCAGCTTGATTCAAGAAAAAAAAAAAGAAAAAAAAAAGCTAGTCCTAAGGGATGGACACTACTGTTAAATTTGAAAAAGAAAAAAAAAGGAAATCAACTCCTGAAAAAAAGAGAAAACCTGCTATTCTTACACATTCCTACAAATGCAAAGACTAGCACATATATCTTTTCCCTAGATAGGACACACTAACATGCCAGAAACACAAACCTCTGCAAGGAGGCATTAGTTTTGACAGAAATAAGTCAGAGGTAGTATAGTATCTTCTTTCAAAAAGGTGGGGTTTCACCTCCCTTTACTCTTAGAAAAGTGCCTTTTATCTGATAATTGATGAGCTGTGCTGACTGCATCAAGTCACAGTCATTCTATGGTTTCTTCATCTCCAGATTAGTGACTGTATAGTGCATTTAACAGCACCTTGATGTTCCTTTAATGCTTACCCTCAATATAGTGTTCTGTAGAGTCATATAATGTAACTAGGACTTCAGAACTCACCAGAAAAAGAAAATGAGGCAAAGTGAAAATTTATGCGCAAATGCTTTTGGGCCAGGATGGAATGACTGAAGTAAGATCATGTTCTGGAGAACCTTCTTGGTTTGTTGTCATATAGGGAAGAAAATAGGCAGGAAAAGGGTTATATGAAGCACAATAGCAGAACTCTTTTATTACAGACTAAGGGAGTCACAAGAAAATAAATACATACATTTTAGGTATGAGGGAAAGCAAGAAGATGGTTTGTCCAGACAGCACATCCCTTTTTAGGCAACCGTTCCTTTATCCTTTACTTAGCAATGCTATGCCTGAAAACAGGGTAAAAGTGTCCACTCTTTGGAATGTTTATATGGGGGGTAAAAGAAAGATTAGTCTCCTCAAGAGCACCAGTGAAACTAAGCATTACTAGTATTCCATTCACACAGGTATGTGCAGAGGGATGCACACCTTAGTCATTAATTTGTATTATAATGTACATGATATGTTAGTAAGTGACCATTGCTAAGGATGGATTTATTATTGTCCTGTACAGGTGTTTTAACCTGGAAGTCTATTAATCTCTAACTCTTCACAGGTTTTAAATTTCAGCGGGAAAATAGAGATGTGTCATTTACTTCATAAAAACACGTGCTACATTATACATCACTGAGACTCCCACTGGAGTTAAGATCCCAGTGCTCCAGATATTCTACATTAATTACAGAGAAATGCTGTCACCTTCAAACACAAACAGCTCAGAGGGAGAAGGACAAAACCAGAGAGAAACTTCCAAGATGAGAAAGAGCTCAAAATAGCATCCAGGCTGCCTTTGATCCAGTCCAGTGCATTACACGGGCTGTCCTGTAACATATAAACCATCAGTAAAAATCACAAGTGTTAGTCTGAATTTTATATTGCCTCTGATTCCAGAAGCTTGATTGGGCACTTACAGGATTATAAAGGTTTCTAGTTTTCCTGACAGGTTTCTTAGCAAGGAGAGGAAGTACCATTGAAAACCAAGGTTGCAGATTTCCAAGGCCAGCTGGCAAGGTGTCCTATAGCCAGATACTACTGGAAACGAGTATCCTTGACATTCAGCTTCTGATGGGAACTGTTGGATGTGGTTAGGGAACACAATGAATTATTCCCAACATTGTTCTTGGCCAGTAGGCATCATCTGTTGTTAGCAGAGACATTTGGCTGTCCTGGTGCTCAGGAGACAATCACCTTTTATCCTGCCTATATTGAAACATTTAGAGAGTGTACATAAGGGAGGCTTGAACTCTTCAGACAGAGCTGTAGGAGCCTGTGAATTTTAAGTTTTCCATGAATTAGCTGTGATACAACCAAATAAAAAATCAGTTTCCCTTGCTCTTCTTTCTACCAGATAGCAGAATTAGTAACATCAAATTGTTATTTTAACTATGACTTCCAGAGTTCCACTTAGGTCCATTCAAAGTCTACAAAGAGCAAAGGAAAATTGAGTTGTCCTCTGCTGCAGAGAGGATTTTATCAGGTGCTCATGTCCTGAGCAGTAAAGGACAACTTTATGGAGACAATCAAGCTTATGAGGTTTTTTAAAACACTTAAGGGCATTACTCTTGACAATCTTGTACAAGACATGCAAAACAGAAGTTGCTACATACACTTGCTCATATGCCAGTCCTTCTGCAAGCACTGACAAAGCTAATTAAGGAAACAAATTTCCCTTGTGTACATACTAGAACAAAACTGCCTTTGGAATAGAGCCAGGCACAACTCCAAGCACCACCCATACCACTCTCTGAGTCAAAGTGCAGTTACTTCCTCAGTAATTTTGGTTTCATGGCTGTTCAAAAAAGATTTGGAATCACACAGATGTACTATTTCAAATGAGAATTTTAAACATTGCCCTCCTTATCCCTGAACAAAGGAACAACCTGGTAACAGCTGAAATTTCCCCCATATCAAGCTTCTGCTAAAGCTTCACATTAATACAAATCTAATAGGAAGGACCACTAAATAACTAAGTGCAAAATTGGGATTACAGGACAAGCATTTTCAGTCTTAGCTACAGCTCTGGCAAATTCTCGTAGGAAGTAAAAAGCTGCATTAAACTCAGCCTCCTACCGTATGAAAACAATCTTGACCTTCCAAACCGACAAAACAATCCTTCCAAAACTGACAGTGTTTTGGAAGTGGGAATACATGCACTCTGTGGCTGTATGTAAACACAAAACAGACAGTGAGAAATCCTAGCAGCGAGAGTCAAGCCACAGGGAACACTGCAGGAATCAATTCCCTTCACTTTTCTATGTCCTTATTCTTGCACTGTTCTCTCTCAAGGAGCTGCTGGCAGGGCCACATGTTTGGTTCTTTCATAGGTATGCAGAATCCTTAACTCCCTCTGCCCCTTCCAGAGAATGACTTTCTAAGCTGAAATCTTAGTAAGCCAGGAAGGTACAATAAAAGCAAGAGTTATTTATGTCCTGAAAGCTGCTATTTTTAAGTGGGGATTTTTGTTTTGCTTTTGGTTTTTTTGCTGTGAGAAGGCAATAAAAGTTGCCTGTGATTCCAGTGTTTCAAATCAATGCCTTTCAAATACAAATTACCCAATATAAGCTAAACATCCATACAGTTTCTCTCTCTGTGCTGCATACCAGTAAGCTGGATGCTAAAACCATTTTTTTTCCCTTGAAAAGCCTGGGTAGATTCAAGAGAGAACTCAGCAGGCCTCAGGGCACCAAGACTGAGTCCATTCCTATTTAGCTACATACCTCACTACCCACCAGCTCTTACTTTTAGCTCATCATTCTTCTTTCCCATGTGCTTTGGAATTTTCTCAACAACTGCTAGTTCACATTCCCACTACCATCCCATTTTCTACCTCATTTTATTCCATCATTTTAGAGCCAGGTATTTTTCCTTAGGGTATTTGTTAGCCCTCATGGTGACAGCTGAGTACCTCATACTCTCCCATGTGCTTCAACACCTCTCCAAAAGTTAAAACTACTTAGACATATTATCTTTATTTTACAGATAGGGAGTAAAGATAAGAGCAAAATCTGAGTGACATTTGAAAAGCATTTAGAAAGTTTAGAGTTCTTAACTTTCAGACTTTTAATTAATGGAACTGGGAGCTTAAGTTTTGACATTGTTGCTCTACGTTATATGCCTTAAAAAGTTCTGTGAGAAATCAAAGTGTGATTAAGCAGAGGACTGAAACAGGATCTCCCATGCTAAGCAAACACGGAATAAAATGTCCAAGTTATCAATATGAATCCAAACATACTTTATTCAAAGAACAAGATTCGTGGACAGGACAACTATGCTTACAAAAAAAATTGAGCAGTAAAGAGAAAACTGATTACTACTGTGATTATCAACATCAAGTTTCACACTTTTGGTTAAGGTTCTGAATAATTATATATCCATGTCACTAAGAAATATTAATAGTAGCTTAATATTTCTATAATGATCAGGTGTACCTGCAGAGTCTGCTTTCATGCTTGTATATTCAACAGCTTTTTCACGGATTCCTTATACTGAGACATGTTACTTTCTGTTTCACCTTCATTTTTAAGTGCAATTACAGAGTTTCTGTAATTCGTAACCACTTCAGATCCAAGCAGCTCTTCCTTAGAGACATTACTGACATTCTCTGAGGCTTTTATTCGAAGCAGCGTGTCCAAGGCATTTTTCTGAGAGCGACTGTTTTCCCAGATATACTCTTCCATATCTTCCTCAGACTTCTCACTCTCCCACTTCTCAGTTTTCTGAAAGAAAATATACACTGTGTTAAAAACCTTCTCAAGACTGAAACAAAGCTACAATAATTCAAAGAGAGTTCTCTCTCATATCAATTCACTTTACAAAAGACATTCACGGTGGAAGGTATCTCCTCCTCTAAGGTACAATGCTTGTAACTCGATCCTGTAGGAGCAGGATGAGTTTCTTTCCTCCCACTTACCAAGTTCTTTATGGATCTGGCAGGTATAACTGGGCAAGTCAGAGTGGGAAGAAAAGCTTATGGACTATACACAGTGAATAACAAAAAATCTTGTAAAAATAATAAATTTTAAATAACCCTAAATGCTCAAGATTTGGAGGCAGTTATTATTATTTATTATGTCCCTAGCATATGATTTTGGTATGTCTACACTGGCTGTAAGACATGAAGTGAGACAGTCCATACCAAGTAACCTGTGATGAAAGACAGCAATCCTTCACCATTTGGGAAATATTTTAATTGGGACTCTTAAGGAAAAGCACCACCAAATAATCCATTTATTCTTCCTGCAAAACAAACTGCTCTTCAAAAGAATCTCTATCCATAAGGTGCTAATTTTTCCCTAATTAGCACTGCAAGATTAGACAGGATCACAAGTTGAACACTGACAGACACCATCCCAGTGCCTGTAAATACTTGGCTTGTACAGTTGTTCTTTATAAATGTTGTCTTTCAACATTTCTCCAGCAGGCCTTCACAGACTGTTTAAGGAATATTTCAAATGTTATAACCTGCTATTTTTGTATATTTAATTTTTATTGTACTTTGGTAAATATATATGCTTCAGAGGTAGATTTTTATACGTGCTTATTTATTTTTATAATTATTTAGTACTTTACTGATGTAAACAACATCTAGTATCCTTATATTATTTCAAGGATCACAATTTAAAGTATTTTGAGTTTATTTCTGGTGTTTTTCTTAAAATTGTTATAAAACTGTGTCTAAATAAAACTTGCATTTCTCTGGAAATAAGTTCAAAAAAACCTTATAGTAAAGCATTTACATCATATGCATTTTTTCCTTTTTTAAATCCCTTACCAGAAAGAGCTCTTCAGTAAATTTTTAACTATGCTATGCAGAATCAAAAAAAACCTTGCAACCGTAGAGATTTTTTTTTCCTTTGTTGTTTGGGTTTGGCTTCGAGTTTTGGGGTTTTTTTTTGGGGGGGGATGGGGTGTTGGTATTGATTTTTCATTTATTTTAAAATATTCTGTCCACTAATTGTCAAGGCTGCTGCAGTCAAACCACAACATTTAATAACCTTTTATTAAGACCCAAGACTTTTTTTTCCCACTACAACCCTGAGTGCTTGGATCTGTCTATCTGAATTTAAAATACTTCACCAAATGCTGCATCTTGCACCTGGTAAATGGAATCTCTTGTTTTTTAAATCCCTGAGTCCAAATGTTTAGTCAGAAGCAGTGAATACCACCGTTAAAAGGTTCTGACACGAAAACCTGAACGCAAATACAACACAGAAGTAAAAGAATCTCATTCAATTTTTAGAGAGGAAAAAAGGAACAAAAGGAAGTCCTGTAGCCTGTATTGCCAAAACAATTGGGAATAAGTGGGTATAGTAAAGTATTCCTTGTGTGTTTGACAAATACTGACATACAAAGTGGAGATTGACACAGTTTTTAATTAACATCATCATCCTGGTTTACATATCCCTTGTTTATCTGCATAATGACTCTCCGAGACATTTTTTTCCCCAAACTCGGGCAGAATTTTAAAGCAAAAACCTTTCTCACAGGGATAGGGTTTCTCAGGAGTAAGGGAATATGGGTATCACCTCTGGTCACTCCTAAACTCATGTTTGAAGTTCAAACAAAAGATCACTGTGAGCCTTTTAAACACCTCTAAGTTATAGCAGAGACAACAAGAACTAATTACAGTTATTACATTTATCCCTTCAGGACAATCCTGCTCTGCACATATTAACTCAGAGGATTTTGGAGATGCCTCCTGATAAACAGATTAAGCTTTCCCCACCTCCTTTGGGCAATACAGAGCAAGATTTTAAAGGGGATTTAAAAGAAACTGTGAAGTATTTCTTTCTTGGAATCCTTCCCAGCAGAGTGATTTGTCAAAATGGATTTTAAAGTAAAATCTGACTACATGGTGGGGGGTGAGGGGGAAAGCAGGAAGGGATTTGACAGTAGGGGGAGATTTCCAAATCCATTCCTCAGCCCTGCTACAAGAAGCCAGTATCCATCACTGCACTGTTGGTGGCCATGTCTCAAAATGAAAAGTTATCCTCCAGATATCCAGTCCAGACATACATCACCAACAGGAAACTGAGCAGAAATCAGGTTTTTGCAAACTAACTGAATCAAGTGAAACTTAAAATACCTTTTCAACACAATTTATTGCAAGAGGAAAGTGAACCTAGATTTATATATGCAATTGAAAATGTACCCTAGATAGACAAGGTATATACCCTGGGTATCCATGAACTCTGAATAGTGGGAATGTTACAAGTGTTCTAGTCTTGGTTTAAAGTGTTATGAACTAAACTTCAAAATTAGGTCTTTATCACCCCAAATTCTGTTAGTTGATTATTTTTGTCCCCTGTAAATTTAAAGTGTTAGTGAACACTGCAGTAAGAGTCTTAAAAATGAGAATAGAACTATGAAAAGTGGAATACAAGTGTATTTATAACATTTTTCTAGAATCCCCACTTAGTGAACAAGGTTAAAAATCAAGAATATATATTTCTTCAATGAATTCACTAAATATGATTGCCTCATTCTGTCACACAGAAGACAGAATCTCAGTATGACCCAGTCTGGCTGAATATGCATTCAGCTGATAATTTCAACCTTTGTCTCTTACCAAAACTTACAATAAGAACAAAACTAAAACCAAATTTAAAAAATCACCAGAAAACAACTTTTTTATATAAAGTCAAAGATCTAAACCTGTTGCTAAAGAGGCACAGAAGAGCTATTTTTTTTAACACTTCCTAATGCAAATATAGAGAATTATTTTTTAATGCCATAAACAGAACAAGGATTTGTTTCTATGCAAATTTTTTATAGTACAGTACAAGCCAGTATTTTGGGAGGTTTACAAGCCTTTACTGTGCTTAATCTGAAATGCTGAAAGAATATGAATGCTCAAACAGTACTTTGGACAGTGAAATTGCTTTTTACATGTAAGTCATTAACAAAAAGCTTCAATTTATATTGTACCTTTAGGTACAGAAAAAAAGGGAGCATTTTGCATCACTTAAGCAGGCATTTCACCATCAGTTTGCTTGTTTTTTTTCTGCCAGTTTAACTTTCACAATTTTGCTGTCACAGTGATACAGAGGCTTCAAATTGTCAGCTCTTTGGTGCTTCTTTTGGGAAAAACATTTTTAATAAAATTTTGAAGTGGCACACAGAAATCCTGGGGGCAATTAAAAACATGACTCATGTTAGCTAACTTTATTGTCAATGGTATAAGCAGTTAAAAATTTAATGCTGTTTAGCAAAGACCAAGTACTTTAGTGGGATTTTTTTTTTTTTGAGGGGAAGGAAAGTTCCTTAAATTCCAAGTCAAATTTCAAACTCTGTATGGGCTGGAATAAATACATCTATTTCTTAGTACTGCACTGAAATAAAAGATATTCTGTGTGGTACCATAACCTTACATTTTCAGGTAATAAATGACAGCTATGCTAACATTTTCCAAATGATTGGGTACTTTCAATCCTAAGAGGAACTGCCAGAACAATTACAGACTCTTTGGGTATAATACACTTTTCATTTGTACTACTTAGTTAGCAACTTACAAAGAAATGCCAACAGAAATTTGTAGAGAGGCAAAACATATTTTTATCACATGAGATTGCATAGAAAAATTTGAATTTCTTGGTGATGTGAAGTAAGTTAAAATACATTCCTCTGAATAAGCAGAACATTATTTTCTAGGACAGAGCAACAGCACAGGACAGGTGGGACCTCTAGAGGATCAAGGCAAATCAGGACAAACTGGGAGGACTAAACATTTCAGTAAGGTACAAATGTATAAAGCAAAAGGAGAAAAAGCAGAGAAGCAAAACAAGAACTTTGCCTCAAAAAATAGCACTGCATGCAAGAGATGCTCTCGTGTTTCATGATACTCTCAAGCTTAATCTCTGCTTCTGTCACCAGCTCCAGAGTCCTCAGTGGTTGCCTGAATTGCCTCTTCCAAAACAACACTTCATTTCTCTGGGCTGGAGTGGCTGCAGCATTTTCTGGAAAATCCAGGCTTCTGTTAAGGGTCATTTGTAAGGTATTTATCTGTTTTCTGAACACTGATCAGGTAAGATTCTGATCTCATCATGTGATATTAAGAGTCCAACTCTTCGGTGATTTTCTGTTCATTTTTTAATGTCTACAGCCCACAAGGCTTCATTTCACTCCAACATACAGACTGAAAATTAAACAGCTGCAAAAATTATATTTATGTATCAAAAAGAAGCCTTGTTTCTCCAGCTACTAAAAATAAGGAGTTTAAACTTACTTAAGCAAAAAGCTTAACTACAGTCTGAAAAAGTACAAAGACGATTTTTAATTCAACCTTCTGCTGGAATGCTCATCCTTTGTGGTACAAGAGGTACAAAAAACCTGTAACCTTCTTCCACTACAATACACATTTCCTGGCAGAAAAACCTTCCTTTTATTCTAAATGTTTGAATTCAGATGGTCAGAGAAAACTTACTAAATTTAACATCTAATTATGCCCCTTTAGCTTTACCTTTTCTGGTTCACATTAATGATGAAGACTCAAGTTGTTAGATTTTGAGCACTGGTGAGCACACAATGAAATGGAATACGTGCTTCAAAACCAATTTTAAATTACAACATTTAGAGTCAACCCTTACTTTGGCCTCAGTTTGCATTACTTAAACCATTGCATTACAAACATATTATAATAACATGCTGAGAAAGGCCTGTTCTAGGAAGGAAGGACAAAATTATATTACATTTCTAAGATCTCCTACTATGAAACTGC